CCCCAAAACCCCAAAACCCCAAAACCCCATGATTGGAAAATTACAGAATTTGTTGATCTCCGAAAATTATTATAAAAAGACTTTATGAAAAATTTGAATTTAGATTTAGATTATTTAAGAATCGAGCTGTTATATTCATATAATTTAAAATAAGAAGCATTATGAAAATCTCGCTCTCAGTTATTCTCCTCTTATTTGGAGTCCAACTCGTCTCTGCATCATTTAGCAGAATGCAAAAAATGATAAGAGCTTTACCTCAAACCAAACAATTAGACTTTTCATGTACAACAGCAATAGACAGAATTAACAGTGCTCTTCCTGATTACAAGTCGATTGTGTCTACTTCTTCCGATTTTTGGAATGATAATAAGTTCCCTGCTGATGCAACTTCAATATAATGGACAGGTACTAGATATACAGAGAATTTACTTACTGGTTTCATTAATAATAAATGGGAGAGATTAAATAACTTCTGTCCTACTTGCACACTCTTCGGTACATCTGATTTCCTGGGTGATATTGATCAGGGTGGTCTTGGTGACTGTTACTTATTGGCTGGTGTTTCGGCTGTAGGCGAATTGAATTCAAGATTCGAAAAAGCTTTCGTAAATCCAGAAATTAACTGGGCTGGCCTTTACGCTTTCAATGTTTATATCAGAGGTATCCCTCATGTGTTAGTAGTTGATGATGCTATCCCAGCAGGAGATTATGGAAAGAAGCCAGCTTTTGCTTCTTTTGGAAGTGATGGCTCTATTTGGGGTCCTCTTCTTGAAAAAGCATTTGCCAAGGTAAACAGCAATTATGAAGAAATTAAAGGTGGTCAAGTAAATGAAGCCTTTAGTTTCATGGCTAGTGTACCTAGTGACATTTTCAAATTAAATGATCTCAGCATAGACTCTATATGGACCTTAGTAAGCTAAGCTGATGCTAAAAATTGGGTGATGGGAATAAGTTCTCCAAGCTCCCCTGGAGGTGACAAAGATAGATGCAATTTGAATCTTCCTTGTGGTCACGCTTATTCACTACTCGGAGTTGCAACTGTATATAACCAAGATAGAAGCTAAGCTATAAATCTGTTCAAGATTAGAAATCCATGGAGGAAAGATGCTGATTTCACAGGTTCTTTCTCAGATAACTCTACTGTTTGGTCCACTATTGGAGCTGATGGTTTAACATACTCCTAGTAGATCTAGCTAGTTATTGCTGATGATGGAGTTTTCTATATGACAGTAGATGAAGTAAAAGGGGCTTTATCTGGTTTTACTATCGGTAAATATACCTAAAACTTTGTCACATCATGGTACGATAAGAGAAATGATTAAGTTGCTAACGAAACTACACCTTCTACTTTTTAATTCACTCTTACTGAATCAACTCCAATGTACATTAGAGTTATGATTTATCCAAAAAGAATGTATCCATTCTCGTGCAAATCTGACTCTACAAAACTAAAACTTATCCTCTAGGATGCAAGTGGCTCAAGAGTATAATACTTTTCTTCATTCGAGTCAAACAATCCATACATAGATCTAGTTGACACTCCACTTGCTGCTGGCACTTATACTTTGAAATTCTACCCTAAGTGGACTAATGTTGATGTTAGAGATTACGGAATCATTATTGATGCTCCAATAGACATTACTATCACTGATGCTAATGGTCAAATTAGTCGACTTACTGGTCATGATTTCAACAACAAAGAATTAAAGCCAACTGTTGATTAGGCTCCAAAAAAGTCAAAGCCTTAGCTTCCTGATATTTTACAATCTGGACCTGCCTATGTTATGACAGGAGATCTAGATTAAGACATTGTCAACATCAGATTCTCATCTTCTCTACAAATTACTGACTCTAAAGGAAACGGTGTTTTCCTTTAAGGATCTGTATCAAACGTCAATAAAAAAAGCAATAGATAAATATTAGCTTATTTCTTGGGAACTTAAACAGAAACAAAGACATATAACGGTTAAATGACAATTAAAACTAAGCCAGGATACTACTTTAAATATTCTCTAGGAAACGATAAATGTGGCATTACACCTGCTTCTAAAGCTGGAGAAAAGGATATTATTTAATGCAGTTGCGTTATTACGCCTGACTTCTATCCAAAGGAATGCCTCCTTGTTCTTGCTACTAGTCCAGGAGAGGGAACAAGCACTTCAAATAAAGCCTCAGCATCGTCTTGAGAAATTAAAATCTAATTATTAAGATTTAAGATTTGAATGCTAGGAAAAACATACAAATCAAATTAATTCATTAATTATATTTCAGCCTTAAAATTATTAATTTCATAAATGCTATATTTTTATCATCACTAATATTTTATATTCAATCTTTGAGGGGTTTTGGGGTTTTGGGGTTTTGGGG